ATATGACATGCCACATATGTGATCTTTCATTATTCGTTGAGCAATTCATATATATCAGTATAAAGAAAAGAAAAACAAAAAATGGATCAAATGTTTAATGGTCTCACCGAAGAAATTCCTTCGTTATACACAAAGATAGAGCAGAACCCAATTTATCTGAAAGGCTTTGAAGAGCAACAGTTTATTGAGACGCCGCTGCACTTCGCCGCCAGGAACGGATGGATTCTGATGGCCGTAGAAATCCAGAGGTTAATGCCTTCGTTTGGTAAAAAGCTGGACCTCAATGGGTATACCCCCGTTGACCTGGCTCAGCGGCGGGCCCATGCATTGACCGCAGCCGCCCTGCAGGAGGGCCGTGGTTTGACCCCTGCCGAGGTGGCCCTGCGGGAGGCCCTTTTCAGGACTGTCTGTGCCTTGATAGATGTGAACCCGGAGCTGGTCCGAGTACAGGGGAGAGAAGGCATAACGCCCCTCCATTTCGCCGCTGAAACAAACAATGCTAAGCTATTGGCTGAACTTCTTATGACCTGCCCGGAATCGATCAATGTGTTAACGGTCCGAGGGGAGACCGCTGTCCACGTGGCGGTGAGGAACCGGAACTTGGAGGCGTTGAAGGTTTTGTGTGGTTGGCTGGCTGGGTGTGATAGAAGCCAGGTGTTGGGATGGAAGGATCGAGAAGGCAATACTATTTTGCATGTGGCCGCGTCCACCAATCAACCCGCGGTATGCTCTCTCTCTCTCTCGAACTCGATTATTATAACGGCTTTTGATAAATAATGTAGTTGAATTTAGTTATTCTCTCCTCTAGTTTCGATTCAGTATGACATTTCGTACGGATAAAAGCCCTCATGAATAACAGCAAAAAATCGTACGTATGTTATAGATATAAATATTAAATGATTTCCCTTACTAATATGGGTAAACAACATAAAATCCCCTGTATTAATGAAAACCTGCGTCAATTTATTGTGTTTGTTTTCTTGGGAAAAAAAAATCCCTGTGTTTTATTTTACTTTACACAAAATTTCATTTCCTGTTAAAAGTTAACTTCGTTTACTGGGGCAATTTTTTTTCTACTGCATTTGGCCCAATTATATTCACAAATAGGATAGAGTTTGAGGCTATTTCAATTCTACAATTAGGCGTGAGCTGTAGTGACGCTTCTTAAGAAGCTGCCACTTGTCAGCTGGTTAGTGGCTTGTTTTATTTTACAAAGTTGGACAAGAAACAAGGGTGTTGAACCACTTGTGCCATATTTTTCCTTTTTTCTTTTCTTTAATTGCAGATTTTATTTTTCTCCTTTTAATTGTTGTTTTTTTATAACTAAAAATAATTTTAAAAAATTACCTAATTAAATAAAAAATTCCTTATAATATTTAATTTTATTAATTTTATTTTTCAAATGCTAACACTAATAAAATGTTTAATTAATTAGAAGCTTTTTTTTTAAATTAAAAATAATAAAAAGTTTAATTGATTTTTTTTATAAGAAAATTTTAGTTGAAATAAATCATAAATAAACATAATAATAAGAGTATCCATGTTTCAAAAAAAATCAAACATGAGGGAGTTTATTATCATGTTATTTGATCAATTAATGTTTTCTTATAAAAAACTAATTATTTTTTAATTTTTTATTTTATTTTTTTAATTTTTATTTTAAAATTAACACTATTAAACAAACACATATTTGCAAACGAAAAAGGCTTCTTTATTAGTTTTAGTTGTTGAAAAAAAAAACTTGTAAAGAAAAAGGTTTATTAATTAAGTAACTTTTTTTTTTATTTTTTTTAAATAGTTATTAAAAAGTAAAAACAACAAATTGAATAAATAAAATAAAAGAAAAAAAGGAACCCTTTATTAGTTGTAGTTTTTGAAAACAAAATAAAAACTTGTAATGAAAAAAGTTTTATTTATTAATTAAGTAATTGTTTTTTTAGTTTTTTTTAGTTATTAAAAACAACAAATTGAATAAAGAAAATAGAAGAAAGAAGAACACTGGTGGTGAGAACACGTGAAACAACACACCTTCTTGTCCATCTTTGGCCAATAACAAAGTGACAAGTGGCGGCTTCTTAAGAAGCGCAACTTCAAACGACGTCTTATTGTAAAATTGAAATTATTTCAAAATCTGTCCTATTTTTGCAAACAATTGGACCAAATGCCCTAGGAAAAAAAGGCTCAGTCCAAGGTTGCTTTATAAATTAGGGCAAATAACAAATAGGTCCATGAAAAAGACACTTAATTAAAAGAGGGATATTCAACTTTTTTGTCTTTCAAATAAATTCAGTTCATTCAAATTTATTTGCAAATAAAGAAAATCATTTTATATATACCAAAATTATCCTAATTCATTGAAACCCAATGAAACTCCAATTTTATGATTTACACCCCAATTTAGCCCAATTTCATCAATTAACCAATTTTAACCATAATTTTAATTTTGACCCGCCACCACCGGAGACCGCCGGTGTCCGGCGTTGACTTTTTTTTTTCTTTTTCTTTTATAATTTTGTTTTTTCTTTAAATTTTTTTTAATTAATATTACTGTCTTGGCTACTAAATTACTATCTTCAACAGTTATTTAACTGTTGGAGACAGTAATTTAACTGTTAATTGACTTTTTTTTTCTTCTTCAAAAATATTTTAATTAATATTACTGTATTGACTGCTAAATTACTGTCCCCATCAGTTATTTAACTGTCGGAGTCAGTAATTTAACTGTAAATTAACTTTTGTTTTCTTAAAAAAATATTTTAATTAATATTATTGGATTTCGTTGCTAAATTACTGTCTCCAGCAGTTATTTAAACTGTCGGAGACAATAATTTAATTGTTAATTAACTTTTTTTCTTAAAAAGAATATATTAATTAATATTTTTATCTTGGCTGCTAAATTACTGTCTCCGGCAGTTATTTACCTATCGGAGACAGTAATTTAACTGTTAATTGACTTTTTCTTTTTTAATTTTATTTTCTTAAAAAAAATTATTTTAATTAATAGTACTGTCCTGGCTGCTAAACTACTTTCTTCAACAGTAATTTAACTGCCTCAGATAGTAATATTAATAATGTTACTATTCGGGAAAATAATATTCATAATATTACTATCCCAAACAGTAATATTATTGTTTGAGACAGTAATTTAATAGCCAAGACAGTAATATTAATTAAAATATTTTTTTCTAAGAAAAAAAAAATTCGAAAAAAAGGGTCAACGCCGGAGACCGACGGTCAACGTTTGTTGACCGGCCGGAAAACAAATTCAGAAAAAAAAAGTTTTCAAAAAGAAAAAAAAAAAGTCAACGCCGGAATCTGGCTGGAAAAAAAAAGTTTCAGAAAAAAAAAAATTATTTTCTGAAAAAAGAATATTTTTTCAAAAAATTATTATTTTGAGGGTTAATGTGTAATATTAAGGAAGTTATATGAAATCGATATGAATTATATTATGGAGGGTAATATTAGACTAAAGATATGGGGATGGAGTTTTTTTGAAAGACTGTTTTTTTTATAGACCAATATACATTTAAATTCCTTGTGATGAGCCTTTTTGGCATTCGCCCTATAAATTATAGTTTAAAACTGCTTATTTTAAGATAAGCAAAAGCAAAAATTCATTTTACAAACACCTAAAAATCAACTATATATACGAGCAAAAGAAAAAAAAAAAGCTCGGAATCTATTTGTAAAACCTTTTGCAAACAGAGAGAAGTGTGAGTGTTTGGAAGTCTATCGTCTAGCATTAGTATTTGTGAATCTCTAATACGTAATTAATCCTCTCAAATACAATTTACTACAATCTATAAAAGTGTAATTAATTTGTTGAATGAGTTTATATTAGGTTCTGAAGCTATTGGTCGAACGAACAAACGTGAGGGAGAAAAACTCAGCAGGCTTGACAGCCCTCGACATAGTAAGGCAACTTCCAGCTCATGTGAACGAAATATCTGCTCGGTCAATCTTAGAGAACCGGGAAAAAGAAAACACTTTATTTGGTTTCATTTTATCACAGTATTTTAAAAAATCTTTAAACGAGATCAACGAATATATAGAGAGGGGCATGCCGGGCGACACGCGAAACGCAGTCCTCGTAGTGGCAGTTCTGATCGCCACTGCAGCTTACCAAGGGGTGCTCAGCCCGCCTGGCGGCTTAAACCAAGGAAATAACGGAAATACCAACACTAGTACTGGTTCATTTGATGCAAGTGGGAAAGCGGTGATGTCAAAACAAGACTTCTACTCTTTCATGCTATATAATTCTGGTGCATTGGCCGTCTCGCTTGGGCTTATCGTCTTTTTTATCCCTTTAACCTCGGCCAACGATTTTGTACTTGGTATACTTCTAGTTTCTGTGCCCCTGATTTCCTTGTTGTGCGGTTATCTGACGGCGCTGAGGGTTATATCGCCGCTGGATTTTAATAAATTGATAGAACTTCTGGCATTTATTCTTTTAACTTTCATTGTGTTTGTACTCGTGAAATTCTTCATGCTCTACTTTTCAAGGAGGCGGCTGTGGTCACGAAGAACAACGCCCACAAGACCAGAAACACCTTAAAGCGGCGGCAAGTAAACAAATTACATCTTCCTTTTTTTGTTCCTTTTTACCTCTCTGAGTTTGCCAGTACAGTAAACATGTTCAAATAATTCATAGAATCCATTAATTAATTACGTACCGAGCTGGCGGTGTAAGCAAATTGAATTGAGTCCAATTACGTATTTATACTTCAATTTTTTTTTAATCAAGTTGTAAGAATTATGTTTGTAAGCAAATTGATGAATTGAGTTCAAAGTATATAGATCTCTATATTTGTTATGTATAATACAGATAATTGGGTAACAAGCGTGGTTAGAATTCTATTTTTTTCAAATTACGAACATATTGTGGTACATCAGAAATTGTATTTTTGCATAAATTTATGAGTAAAAACTAGAGAACATTCCACGAAATCAAGAATATTTTGTTAATTAATATATTTAAGTCGATATAGCATAGAATAATATCACAAGTATGAAGTACACTTAAATCTCTATGAATTAATACAGTTGGGACTAGAAAAATTCTATTAATTTAGTGAAATATTAAATTATCGAGTTAATAGTTTAACATGTTTTCAACGAATTGGGACCCAAAGAATATAATATTTAGACGATATTAAAAATATCGAGGTTCTACTATATTAGAGTGGCTTCTTGGAAAATATCTTGGTGGCCGGCCACGAACATATACATACATGTATTTGACTATATAAAAGCTTGGAATTTTTTTTATTATTTTTTTCTTTTTTCTTGGCAATATGTACTGGAGTTGACAATATTTTAGAATTATTTTCACGACATGGTTGTCACAAATTATTCTTTAATTATGGTTACAATCCATTAGTATATATAAATGCAATGTATTCTTATACCATGATATATAACAATATCAATTCGTTGATCACATACCATTTTATTAGAAAGAAGAAAAGAAAATATGGAAGAAATAATATTGAGTGCTACCGAAGATGAAGGAATTGCTTCACTGTACTCACTAATAAGGGGCGATCCAGATTTTCTACAGACGTTCGATCGTAGCCAGTTCGCCGACACCCCACTGCACCGAGCCGCCGGCGAAGGATGCACGCAGCTGGCGCTGGAAATCCAAAGGCTAATGCCTTCATTTGGGAGAAAGCTGAACCCGGACGGGTTGACCGCCGTTGACCTGGCCATGCGGCGGGGCCACCGCCAGACTGTGAGGGCCTTGGTAAAGCTGAGCCCGGAGCTTGTCGGAGTTCAGGGCAGAGAGGGCATCACGCCCCTCCATTACGCGGCCGAAACGGACGATGCAGAACTATTGCAAGAATTTCTTTTCAGGTGCCCCAAATCGGTCGAGGAATTGACGGTTCGTGAGGAAAGTGCGGTCCATGTGGCGGTGAAGAACCGGAAGTTGGCGGCGGTTAGGGTTCTGGTTACGTGGCTGCAGAAGACTGGTAGAATAAACGTGTTGGAATGGAAGGACTGCAACGGCGATACTGTTTTGCATCTTGCCACATCCACTAATCAACCAGAGGTTTGTCTTCTCGAATTAACATTTAACATTACCTGGATTCTTGGATTTTCATGTTACTTCTTTTTTAAATGACTAAATAAATTTATATCACTGCATATTATAGGATTAGTTACGCATTGCATTTGCACCCTCCTAAGTATGAAACTTGTAACAAATGTCCCATAAAATATCAATTGTATAAAAATCGTTAAAATTATGATGCATATAATGAATGGTGTGCAATGACTGTAATATCCCTGATGACATGACTATATTTTGTCCCTTCCAAGTATTACTAATTATAACATTTAACCTCCCCTAAGTATTAACTGTAAATCTTAACCCCAAACAATATATTTTTGTGGGGCAAAATGGCAAATAAGTCTATGACAAGGGACTTAAATGTACATAGGTCCATATAAAAAACAGTCTTGCAAATAAATTCATTTTTGTCTAAAATACCCCTCATAATATAATTTTCATCAATTCCATCAATTATACTCTAACTTCATCAGTATTGCATATTGACCCTGGATTTGAACAAATATATCACATTAACCTCCGTTTTCATAGTTTTTTTAAATTTTTTTCTTCATAAAATAACTTTTTTTATGAATTTTTTTCCGGCCAGATTCCGGCGTTGACTTTTTTTTTCTGATGGGCTCGAACTCGAGTCCGGGCCTGATTATAATTGTTCGATAACTCGCGAGCTTCATATTTTTTATTTATTTAAATAATAAAGAAATGTTGAATAAATAAATATAAAAATTAAAAAAAAAAATTTATAATATATTTTTTTAAAATTTTTATAGTCATATATATAAATAATTTATACTAATAAAATAAAGCAATATTAATATAAAAATTAGAAGAAAAAAAAAACTAAAAATTAACAAAATGAGCTGAGTTCGAGCTAGCTCGATGAATCCACTTGAGCTTGAGCCCAGAAAATGAAAGCTCGATGAGCTCTAGATCGCAAAACTGGACACGAGCTTGAGCTTGAGCCTGAAAATTCTGGCGAGCTCGGCTCATTCGGACCCCTAAACACGTACGAGGCAATCAGTTTATAAGTAGACTTGTATTAATATATTGTTTGGGGATTAGGTTACGGAGCTATTAACTGAAAACGTAAACGTCTACGGGAGGAACGGGAGAAACTCGACAGCCCTCGATACAGTGACGGAACTTCCAACTGAAATGAACACAAGAGCTTTACAAATCTTACACCGTGGCCCAAGAGGGTCAGCCTATGCTGATTTAGTTATTACATCAGATCATAGGTCGCGGGGTATAATATCGAAATTCAACCGATATCTAGAGTCGGGTTTGTCACATGAGATGCGAAGCAACCTCCTAGTGGTGGCAGTTCTGATCGTCACCGCCACTTACCAAGCTGCGATAAACCCGCCTGGCGTCCCCACCAACAACCATGCCCCCATCAGCGACAGATCCGAATACTTTGGATTCATAACATCTAATTCTATTGCATTTGCACTATCGCTCGGAATGATCATGTTGATGCTCCCCGTACGCCCGTACAACATTCTTCTCCACGTGTCTCTGTACTTCTTGATGTGCAGTTACTTGTCGGGGATGCACATTACATGGCCGCACTCCGCACGCATCTTATCGATTGCTATTTTTCTTTTCATGGTGGTTTCAATTACGAAGTGGATATTTGTGTTGAATGAACTATTTGGTTGCTTCACTAAATAAGAATAATTAGTATTAGTGAGACGGACACACGGCATGGTAGATCCGACGCAAATATATATTGTTACTAATTCTCATATTACGTCACGCGTAGTTATTGTCAGTAGTTGAGCTTAATCGATTCACATCTTTGAATAATATTTACAAATTGAAAGGACTTTCGCTTGATCGATTCAAATGTTGCACTTTGATTAAATCTTACAATTTAATTCTTACATATTTTAGGAATTAATTTTTTTTAATTGTTTTTATTAGGGTGAAAGTTGGATGGAACGGATCGGAATTAGCCTTTTCGGAAAATTTCCAAAAAAATTCGGAAGGACAAAATCAATTCCAATTCCAATTCCAAAATTTTCGAAATCTAAAAATTCATTCCAATTTCAAAAGGCCCGAAAAGTTCAGAATTTCGGAAAAAATCGGAAATCACCTAAGTTTTAAAATTTCAAAACTTAGCCGGAATTTTCTAAAGTGTTCATAATTTTTCGAAAATAAGAGCATCCACGTCGATAAAAGTAAAACTAATAACTACTAAATTTCAGTTCAAAAAAATAAATAAAAATAAACAGAACATAATATCCAATAAAAACTTCTAACAATAATTCATTCTGTGAAAATCCTAAAACAAAACTTATAGGTGTAATTTTTCGGAAAATAAGTATTATATAATATATACTATTTATAGGTGTATTTTTCGGAAGAAAATCGGAATTTTTTGAAATTAATTTCGGAATTAAATCGGATCGAATATCGAAAATTCCAAATTTATTTTATATAAATTTCAATCAAAAAAAAAATTGGAAAATTTCGGAAATCGAAATTTCGGAAGTCGGAATGAAAAAAGTTGTTCCAAAATCGGAACTTTTCGGATCGGAACCGGCGGTAATTGGAAAATCCGTTCCAACTTGCACCCCTAGTTTTTATGCATGATAAAATTAAATTAAGGGCGAATGGCAAAAAAGCCCATCACATGGGACTTAAATGCATTTTGGTCCACAAAAAAAACAGTCTCTCAATTAAGCCCATCCCCATGTCTTTAGTCTAAAATACCCTCAATAATATAATTCTTATTAATTCCACCCATTATGCTCTAACTTTCTTAATATTACACATTGACCACGTATTTAAACAAATATATCACATTAACCCCCAAATTTTTTTTTTTCAGAAAATAATTTTTTTTCTGAAATATTTTTTTTTTGAAAACTTTTTTTTTTCCTGAAATTTTTTCCGGCCGGTCAACCACCGTTGACCACCGGTCTCCGGCGTTAACTTTTTTTTTTTCGAATTTTTTTTTTCTTATAAGAAAAAAATATTTTAATTAATATTACTGTTTTAGCTATTAAATTACTGTCTCAGACAGTAAGTAATATTACTGTTTGTGACAGTAATATTATGAATATTATTTTTCGGAACAGTAATATTATGAATATTATTTTTCCGAACAGTAATATTATTAATATTATTGTCTAAGACAGTTAAATTACTATTGAAGACAATAATTTAGCATCTAAGGCAGTACTATTAATTAAAATATTTTTTTCTTCTAAGAAAAAAAATGAAAAAAAAAATCAATTAACAGTTAAATTACTGTCTCCAACAGTTAAATAACTGTTGGATACAGTAATTTAGCAAATGAATACAGTAATATTAATTAAAAATATTTCTTTTAAGAATGAAAAAGTCAATTAACAGTTAAATCACTGTCTCCAACAGTTAAATAACTGCTGGAGACAGTAATTTAGCAACGAATTCAGTAATATTAATTAAAATATTTTTGAAGAAAAAAAAAGTCAATTAACAGCTAAATTACTGTCTCCGGCAGTTAAATAACTGTCGGAGACAGTAATTTAGCAGCCAAGACAGTAATATTAATTAAAAAAAATAAGAAAAAACAAAATTATAAAAAAAAAAAAATCAACGCCGGAGACAGGCGGTCTCCGGCGGTCAACGTCAGAATCTGGTCGGAAAAAAAACATTTCAGAAAAAAAAATATTTTCCGAAAAAAAAATTGGGGGGTTAATGTGATATATTTGTTTAAATCCGGGGTTAATATGTAATATTAAGGAAGTTAGAGCATAATGGGTGGAATTGATAAGAATTAAGGTTAAAATTGGGGTTAAAATTGAAATTAGGGTTAAAATTGGTTAATTTATGAAATTGGGCTAAATTGGGGTGTAAATCATGAAATTAGAGTTGAATTGGGTTTCAATGAATTGGGGGTAATTTTGGTATATATAAAAGGATTTCCCATATTTGCAAATAAGTTTGAATGAGCTGGATTTATTTGAAAGGCAAAAAAGTTGGATGTCCCTCTTTTAATTAAGTGCCCTTGTCATGGGCTTATTTGCCATTACCCCTTAAATTAAAAAAAAAATATTACACTTTAATTATAAACAGTTAATTCGACTAGCTAATACATTTTTGTCAATAGTTGAACTTAATCGATTCAAATCATTGAATAGTATTTACGAACTGAAAGTACTTGAGCTTAATCGATTCAAATATTACGATCTGATTAAATCTTATGATTCACGAAATTTGATTCTTACTTATCTTAGGAATTAAATTTTATTACTTTTTTTTTATGATAAAATTGAATTAAAAAGATATTAAACTTTAATTATAAATAGTTAATTCGATTAAAAAATACAAATGTACTTGCTTCATTTCATGCGTATATATAGTTTTTACAATGTTATGATTCAACATATGAACCTTCAATTTAAAATTATCATATTGCAGACCACGACTAACCTAGTTGATAATTTACTCGTCACATGCGTTGTTTGTAAACTGAACCGTAACATATGCCGTTCTACGATCTTTTGAAATTTGCCGATATAGCACTCAAAGAAAATTTTAGCCTCTTCACCAGAAATAGAAGAAGAAGAAGGAAATCCTGACGCACTACATATTACTTTAGATTTCGCCAAATGCCAACTCACAGCTTACCTTCAATGCCAAAGAGTGGACTCGAAAACGGCCGAATATGGAAAATGAAACCGAAAGTTAGGTGAGAAAAAAACTTCTATGAATTTTTATGTTTAGATATATTTTATATTTTTCGATGTTGTTATTTGTTTTGAAGACTTGTACTTGTATCAATTTATTCGAAAAAAATATGTAATTTGGCCTCATTTTTCGTTGTCGTCTTAGGCCTCTCGAATCCTGGGACCAACTGGGATTTATGTTGATCAGCCACCATTACTCATTTGAAGTTTATGGCCTTTTGCTTCAATGAATTCTAAAGTGATCTTAGCTTTGAGGGACCAAATTCTAATCGTAATTAACATTAGGTGCCATATCTCACACGTGAGAAAGAACGGGGAAAATACAGTTTTGGTCCCTCAAGTCTGCACAAATTTCACATTTGGTCCTCAATGTTCACAAAAAAATACATTTGGTCTCTCATGTTTCAAAAATTCAATACTTTTAATCTTTTTCATCAATTTTCCTTTAGTACTGACGGAATCAAGCGTGTTCCCATCACCGCCTTAACTGACGGAGCAACGGTAAATTGACGAAAATGACCAAAACTGTTTAATTATTGAAATATGAGGGACCAAATGTGAAATCAGTACAAACTTAAGGGGTGGAAACTGTAATTATCCCGAAAGTAAATAGACAGAAATGAAGAAGGTTGAGAGTTGGACTCTTTGAATTACTCAACAATTGGTTAGTGAGCAACCACTAATTAAATTTAATTGTGGTCCTCATGAGTGACTGGTCTATTATTTGCTGTGATCAGCACAAATTGATTTTTCCTATTGGCCTTTAATTTGCTCATCGTTACATATTTTTCACAATTCTATTCATTCATTATGTCAACTTGGAAGCTTTTCCGAATCATCTCTCTTGTGGGACATTTTAATGCAAATTCAAATGGGGAAATTGGATCAAAACCCCTCATTTGCTATTTCCCTAACATTTTGTATTATTATAGGGATAGTTCCTTTAATTACGAAAAATGTCATTTTGCCACTTGTATTTTGTTCGTTTTTGCACTTTGACCCACGAGCACACTCATATTTTAATTCACTTAACCACCTACGTCGAATTTTCAGGGGAATCTTCACAGATTCCGGCGCACATACGTAAGTACATTAGGAATGGCAATAGGGCGGGTATGGGGTGGGTTTTGCAATCTCCATCCCCGCCCCGGTATAGAAATCCCCATCCCCATCAAAATCCCTGAACTCTATAAAATAGAATCCCAAAACCCGCCCCATAAAATCCCCACGGGTACCCATCCCGACAAACCCCTGATTGTTTTTTATTTTTTATTTTTTTAATAAATAAATATCGCAATCTACTTATAATTTAAAGGTTTATTTCAACAAACAAACCAATATTTAATTATATTACTAATAACCGAAACCTAAAAATCTCCATATTTAGCTAATATTTAATATATTACTAATATTTAATTATTTATATATAATATAATAATTAATAAATATATATTATAAATAAATAATGCAGGGCGGGTATGAGGCCCGGGTACAGGCAAACCCGTCCCCGTACGTGTACCCGGTCAAAAAAAAATTCAATCCGCAAATCCGCTTCATTTTTTTTCTGGGACGGGTAATACCCGGAAATTTCGGGGCTGATCAAATTGTTATCCCTAAAGTACATGCATATTCTTCCAAAACCCTAATTCTGCCCAATTTTCACTCCATTTCTGATAGTCTCTCATTTCGCTCCCTCTCTCATATATGTCTTCTTCCTTCGTGCTCTCATTAATCTAAAGTTATTGAATGTTAATGTTTTTTTAATTGTTTATTTCCTTCTATATATCAATTCATTAATTGTTCGACATAAATAAAATTATAGTAATGATTTTTTTTTATTAAGTACATAATAATTGAATGGTTGTAACTTCTAAATATAGACCACGTAAAGTTCAGTGACCATATATATATAGTGAGGATATTTTCACATATGTT